CTTAATTTGGCTGCCCAAGAGAAATTCCTTGAGAGAGTTTTCTCTCAAATTTTCTCACTCACATCATCTTATTTAAACTTCACAAATCAAATTAGTATAGTGATTATGTGTTGATTTTTACCTTTGTGTGGATATCATTGGTTCACTCCTATCCTTGGAGTGTGAGCGTTTTCATCGGTTGAAAAAGCGGTGGAGCCTTCAAATGTGGATAAGAATCTAAACCTTGTATGGGTTTTTGATAATCTATAACATGTAAATATAGTAACTCTCATATATGGATTTTGGGGCTTCTAGGGTTTTAATCGGTAATTTTTTGTTTTCCGCTCCCTATTTCTTTGATTAAATCCTAACAGTGGTATCAGAGCCTTTTATATGAAATTACGATGTTTAATCTTTGCCGGAAATATGTAATTTGATGATTGCATGTTTTGGGCTTTAATTTGATTGATTTGGATTTAGATTAATTGGATTAAAACAAGGATTGTTGTGTTTGGGGATTTGTTGAAATCTATTGTGATTGGACTGATTTTTGTTGAAATCAAGATGTTTTTGTGAAACCCTAAGTACCATCGTGTGTGGTGGTGCTGGCTGCCATGATTGGTGGTGCACAGAAACGCTCTGACCCAAAGCAGCAACAGTGTGTAGTTGCTACTGTCCTTGGCGCAAAACACTGCATGCTGTTGTAGCCAACTGCACGCGCACCAATACGTGGTTGCTTTGTGTATTGCACACGACAGCCACCCGCTACCATGTGTGGAGGAAGGGATGGCCACGTGTTTCAAGATGTAGCCTTGGCCAATACCCTTCATGGTGTTTAGAGGTTGTGTACCGAGGCACACAACCACTATCCCCAACAACCCCTGTTGAAAAACTTGGGACTGTCATCACAATCACTATAACACTGCTGTATACGAGAGCTACCTTGGGCCGATCGTTGTTGTAAATAGCACAACCATGTTGGCTATGTGTTTACCCATGTAGCCTTGTTCTTCACTTTGTGTTTTCACTCAAGTGTTTGACACGTTGCGTGTTTTTACGCTCAACTGTCATGTTTTAGGTAGCCTGTGATTTTCCTCTGGGGAAATCGCTCTCATTTACACCATGGTGCTTATTTTTGAGCGATTCAAAGTCTCACATGTTCCTACATGTGTGATGATCATTTCAATAGGCTTACATTAATTTTCAGACTACTATAGCAAGGGGTTTCAGTCTATTTATAGTCAGTCAACGTTGGTGCACATTAATTTGCTGCAGGTTCATAAATAGGTCATAACATATTCAATAGTGAGTCAATTGACTCACGGTTTGCACCAGTAGATTGTTAACATATTGATGCATGTTTAACAAGTCTTTAACGCTATTGCCCATACGTGTCGATGCACATAAAACTGCTGTTTTGGGCAACTTACACATTGGTGTAGATGGGCTTCAGTTTAGGCTGTTTTGGGCGTTTTTGCGCATAGATGTTGGTCCATAATTTACTATAATTGTTGTTGCATATTATAATCATTTTGGAGGCCCAATTTGGGGAGGCCCAACAACAAGGGACTAAACTGAAAGGTTTACAACTTGTTGGACACAACAATGTATAAGATCAATGAGTAATTGTAATTTACCAAGTGAGTAAAAATTGTTGTTTTTGATTGATTTTTATATGCATATTCTTGAGATGAAATTGCATGGTGTTGGTTGCATTTTCCTTTAGACCTAGTTAAATTTGAGGATTGTAATTTCAATTTAAATAAAGTCTGCATGCCTTGCCTTTCTTTTAATCTCTTGTATTTCTCTCTGTCATCTTACTCCCCTTGAATATAAATCGAGGTTTCTCTTTATTGATGTAAAGTTAAATTAGAATTTATTTTTTAATTTAATGTAATGAGGAGAAGAAGCATTGGATTGAAGAAGGCGAGTTTTTAAATTGAAAGTTCTCTTGTTATTTAATCACCTAGGTTGACATACAAATTCTCCAAGGCTTGGGGAATTTGGTTTAGTTAAGGCAATGCACCAACATGTTTATCTTTATTGCTTTAGTTGGCATGCAAAGGTTGAATGTTATGGATATACCATGTTAATAAAGATAATAAAATTTTGAGACCAAAAGAGCAAAAAACCCTCATAAAGGATATTAAGTCTATGATTAATGCCTTCCAACATCATGGGCTTAGTCAAACCATAGATCGTCATAACCTTTTCGATCAACGAAGGGTATGCGTCTATCAATGAAAGCCAAGTTGCATTGGAGTTTTTCCTTAATGATGTCAGGTTAGACTTAACTAGTAGTTTTGGCTTTTCGATCAACGAAGGTTAAAAACATACTAGAGGCACACATAGAGAAGTGCAATTTTACCAATGCACGGGATGATATGTAGTATCTATTAGTGTAGGTGCCCCTGAGCCAATCATATTGTTGTATGTTGACTCTATGGATCATGAATATTCAATATTTGAAAGCCATTGATTATATTATGTAAAGCATATTTCATATGTATGTATTAATATATTCCTTTAGAGTGGTTGAACCGTGATGAGGGAATCAAGCAGTGATAAGTCTTGAATGTGAGATCCCTATGATCATTTATGGTAGCCATTCTATAAACGTCCATAGCCAGAGTATTATCCTGAACTAGGGCACAAATAATATGGTAAGATTATCATAGCATTGAACGATCCTGCCAGAAGGTAGTGATTGATCTCACATGTCAAGGTTGTTTGGTGACAACGTAGTGCGACGCATAAGTGCTTGTTATTCATGAGTTCAGCAGATTGACCTATCAGAGGATTCCATATAGATGGTACTACTAATGTCCATGGAATACATCCTCTAACAGATGATGATGCCTGTGGTCCTTAGACTTGAGATCACCAGAGCGCCTTGTGTACCTATTGGTGTAGTTTGACACTTACCAAATGTAATCCTGAGAGGGTTATCAGTATGTGAGTGATTGGCTACATCGAGAAGTACATCACGACTATGGTGGATCGACAAATGATTCATCACTTCTGTGTACAGGAGATATTATCTCAGTGAGATTCCAATAAAGGACAACGACCTTGGAATCTATGGCCATAGTGGAATCAAGTTAAAGCTCGATTGATCCGATAACCGAATCTGAATATGTCAAGGTGGTTTATATTTGAAGTCGACGACATTACTTCTATGCTTCAAAACTTGATGGGATAATAGATGATGAAATGATTTGATTGCACGGTAACCATACTGTTGATAAGTAGTAAATACGCTGAATCCAAATTTGTTGGGTGGCTGACAATCCTAGGATTATAGTGATTTATCTAGGCTTTTTGGCCGGATTTTGGATACTTCTTATTTCATTTGTGCCTGAATTCCAACTTAATTGCATATATTTTATGTTTCAGGCCCAAACGTGCAGTTAGAGCAAATAATGAGCGGAATTGAGTTTCTAGACCTAGAAGCAAGTGAATCTCAGGATTCGGGGAAGTTCTGAAGCGGATTTGAAGCACTATAAAGCTTATTCCTATTGGAGAGCACCAAAGATTGAAGATTCAAGCAAGGAAACAAGCGGAGGGCACTTCGGTAATTTCAGAATTGTTCAGAAGACTTCGCCACAGCGATAAACTCTTGGGACAGATTAACAATTTTAAACCAACTCGTTGCTACGACGAAGAATACTCTTCGCCGTGGCGAAGTCTGCAAGATTTAGTTTTTCAAAACTGTGCGTTTTAATTTAGACGAAAGTTTTAGGTTTGTTTTGGACCGACTATATAAAGAAAACTTAGTCTTTTTATTAGGGAGTTTGACATTTTTGGGGAGAAAGAAGAGAAGATTGAAGATTGAACTTTTTTGGATTCATCAAATAGGGAAGATTTTGTTCTCTTTTCTTAATTCCAACATGTTGAATGTATTGTTTACTGTTTTTATTTCTATTTGTGTTAATTTTAGTATGAACTAACTCATTTTGGGTTAGGGTTTTGATGTAATTGGGATTTTTATGTTTAATCAATAAATTAATGTTGCTTTTACATTCCATTTGCATGGATTGTGTGATTATTCTTGTTTTTGTTGAAATTATTCGTTGAACATGATGAGACTGAGATATTAGTTTCTTAAGTTAATTGCCATTGTTGTATTGAACACAAGATCTAGGTTTGAGAATCAATGAAATCAATTTAGGATTCCTTTTAGCTTAACGAATTTGGAGCTATTAACCTTCAATTTGTTGGGTGCGGAAGCTTAACAAGGAAAAGTAGAAAAATATAGCCTAAGAATGTATGTTTTACACATTAGGGAATCTGATTTATAATTCGTGCATGTGAGTGTAGAAGTAGCATAATTCGTAGATTAATTCATAAAATCCTAGTGAAGTCAAAACCCTAATCGTTTGTTTTAATTAATATTTCTCTTGAAATAACCTTGCTGTCTTTTAATTAGTTTTTAAGTAAGTAGTAAATTTTGTTTTCACTTTAGCTTAAATTTCTCCCACAAATCAAAACATCTTTCGGTTTCTCCAACTTGATAAACAACTAGGAAAATCAGTGCTTAACAAACAATCCTCGTGGGAACGATATTTTGCTTATCACTTTATTACTTTTTGCGACTAGTGCACTTGCTACACATTGCAAGTTGTAATTTCAATGTATCAGTGGCCATGATGTCTTACTAGGGGCCAATCTTGGTCTGTGTGTAATAAGATGATTGATTGTGTGTCGATTGTAGTATTACACATTGCCGACATGATAAAGAGACTTCGGGTCATACACATAAAAGGCAATCTAAAGAAGATAATATGTGAGGCATTTTTGTCATTTGTTGATGAAAGGGTATTTTGGTAAATCTTACATAGCAATCTTATAAAATATCAAAAATTGTTTAATAATTTCAAATAAACACTTACAAAAAAGCCCTATTTAATATTTTTCGAACAAAGCCGATGAATGCCATTCGTAAAAAAATGTATAATCTGTTATGAGTCTTATGACATTGAAAACCTATGTAGATCAACGGTTGATATGCATAAGTAGCCATTGCACCATAGTTTGCTCCACACCGAATAGTTGCCTAATTGGCGGGACGAGAGCTCGGCATTTCTCTACTTACAATATAAAGGGCAGCTGATAGAAGATGATTGACATTTTAATTATTTATCAAAGTTAAAAAAAAAAAAAAATAAATAAATAAATAAATTCAAATAATGCTTAAAGGAAGAGAGAGCTTGGTCCGATTAATCGGCAGGCGTAGGCGATTTCTTCCAAATTGTCAATCTCTTCTCTCTTCTCCAATCCAGGTACTTTTTCAATCTTCATTTATGTTTGTATTTTCAAAAATCAAATTGAAATGCTTATGATTTTTTAATTTTACATTTTTTTTGGTATTTTTAGAGCTCTTTGAATCTCTGCACTGATAAAAATGGTAAAATCTTTTCGGCTAAAACTGACGATTCCGAAGCTTCCGATGTTGTAAAGTGCCCCGTTTGTGGTAAAAATGTCTCGACTGATGATAATATAATCAACACTCATCTAGGTATGCGTAATTCTTTTCAATTCAACTTCTTTATTGATGTCAAAATGAGGAGGTTTATTATGTGACTTTGAAAATTAGGGTTCTTTCTAGGGCCTGAAATTACATTAAGAATTAATGATGTTAATACCCCTGAAGTATGATAAAATAACAAAAGTCCCCTGAGGTTTCGGAAATAACAGGAATACCCCTTCTGTTAACATTTACTAACTCATAACTGTAAATTTTAATGGTTCATTAACAGCTGGGGGATTTTTGTTATTATATCAAACTTCAGGGGGGTCTATGTCTTTAACTCTTATATAAATTTATTCTTCCTAAAGTATTAGACTTCGTTAAAGTAGATTTGTTATCTTAGTTTGAATTATGTAAATAATTTGACAGTATATGAAACAAGATTCAGCAAAAGCATTTGGAAATATTAGGATTTAATGGGACAAGAACATCTTTAAGTATGAATTATTAAGTGCATGCAATTATAACAATATGTTCCCATGAACAGTTAAATATGTGGATTTTTTATTTTTTGGGTACACGTGGTAGGGAAAAGAAGCCAGAAAAATAAAATAAATAAATAAATACACCTCAATTTGGTTATTGGTCATTGAAGATAACTAATTTGCATTGTCATTAGAGGCTGTTGAAGATTACTAATTTCACCATCCGATGTTTTTGCTGAGTGGAGTTATTGATTATCTTGTTTTATGCTTATAGTTTAGAATAAATGACTTTCAGATGCCTGTCTATCTAGAGGAACCAAACGAAAATTGACCCAACGCACCCTTCTTCAGTTGAACTTCTGTGCGCAACCAAAAGGTCAAATCCATTCCAATGAAACAGAACATCAAATTATTAATGTGGTTTCCGAAGATCCTGCAAAGATTCTTGTACAGAATGCCATTTGCGGATTGTCCAACACTGTTGCGGTTGAAGAAGATGATAATATCCATGCAGGATCTCCACTAAGATTTGAATGTTTGGAGCTTACTTGCAAGGCTGGTTCTAGTGATAACCAAATTAACGAAATCGACTGCCAGGATAAGATGCCTTCACCAGATACTGAAGCTCTCAAACATCACATAGACTTGACTATTGATGACATATCTGGGGCTACTCTCCAAACTTTTATTGTAGGCCGTAGGTTTAGTGATGAAAAGGGTATAAATCTTGGAAATAGCATCTCTCTCTTAAGAGAACCCCATAATCTTAAGGATCCCTATGCTATCAAGGTTCATATTTATTTGTCTGTGCATATGAATTTGTTTCTTAAATATGTATATATTCATTCTAAAGGTACTGCTTTTCCTTTCGGGGCAGGTTCTTTCTGCAGGTTCTGGATGCTGTAAAGTTCTTGGTTATCTTCCTCGAGAGTTATCTCAATATTTGTCTCCTCTAATTGAGAAGTCCTGCCTGAGTTTTGAGGTGATACAACTCCTGAGTAGGAAAGACTCATATTAGCTAACTTTGTAAGAATTTTGTTTTTCTGTTTATTCTAATTTGTATGTAAGCATGTCTTTTGTAAAAATGAGGAAAATATTTCTGCGGTAACAGAAGAGACAGGTTTCTTTGTCATTTGTGCAGTTAACTTCCATTCTAGCCAAGTGTGATTTAATCTATTGGGCGGAAATGTTGTGGAAAAGTAAAGAGGATTCCTTGTTTAACCTTGCTGGGTTTTTATTCCTGTTTTCAAGGACTATTAAAGAGAAATAGAGCCTACATATACTCCTCAAATCATTACTTCTGAAAAAATCAAATCAGACAAAAGTCTAGTATTTGCACTCAGTCTTCAAAAGATATAAGCACTATGCAAAAATTTTCAATGACATACGAATAAACTGTTGCATGATTTTACTGTACAATTATCTTATTTTCTACAAGTTCTAAACCTATTTGTACAAAAGAATGCTTAGTTGCAATAACCAGAATATACTTGAAACTTATAAAAGCCTAATGTTTAGATGGAACTGATAGACTTTGTATTTGGATGTTTTGGTGATCTTCATGAACTACTGTTTTAACTGTTAAGTACACAGACACATGACTAAGCTTACCATTTTTGTAGATCATTTCCAGAATATGTCTGCATGCAATCACACATGTGATTTTAGTTCTAAATGACAGTTACATAAATTCCTTTGCAAGTTTATTATATTTTTCTAACTTTGCTGCGAATTCTGCACCAAATATGTAAGCTAATTTGCAGCACTAATCTAGTGTAAATAAATACTTGTAAAACAAAATTAGGTATTTTAAAACTGTTAATTGAATAGTGTTAAATAGTTAGGTACTTCGTTGTTTAAGGAAAATTGTCATCAATGTCTTTAGTGGTTAGTTAAACTGGCTCCTGTTACATTTGAGAACTACAGGCGACCTTCTTGACCTTATATGTTTGATTGTGCCTGTATTTTTCTTTCAATTTTATCTGCTTCAATCCTTTGACTGTAGTTTTTTGGATATTCTGATGCCAAATAATTGCAGTTTGAATTGTGTATTGGAGCTGGGAAAATTATCATTCTTTACTTAACAGTGAAATACACTATGATTGCAGGGTTATGTGACTTCAGCACCCAAACATTCTCTTGATGTTGTTCCAATTAAGATTACATGTCACAAGATTATATCAGATTGTGAAATAGATGATGATATTGAATTTTCCAAATGTCTGTGGAAAAGGGTTCTACATGTGGTTGAATCTGCAAAGAAATATCCATCGAGTACAATAAAGTATCAGCATAACTTCAATCTGTTAATACAAGAAGTACTAAGAAGTAATTCTCACCTTTTCACCGATAATGAGAGAGTTTTCATGGGTATTGATCCAGCACTAGCTTTCATTCTTTCTTCTGTCGGCATATATTTTCAGTTGGATTGTGATATTTATCTCCATTTTTTATTGTCAGAATCATTCTCCACACTGTCTGTGGATAGTCAGAGGCTTTTCATTCGGCTTTATACACGGAAAGGTCTTTTCACTACGAGATTACGTTTTTACTGTACTTTGGTGTTAGCTTTACTCATCTGCTCATTTATCTTATATATTATGTTACTCTTCCACAAACTTATGTGTTGCCTAAATTTATTTCTGTAATCTGGAGATAGAAATTGCCTAAGCTCATAGACTGGTTCAGTTTTATGTTAAGTCACAGAAACCAGTAACAACAGCCAAATAATTAAAAGTTTTTGGGACGTTGTTCACTCTGTTGATTTGTACTTATGCTATGGTTTTTGCAAAACATAGTACTGATGTAGGACTGATTCTACACAAAATCAAAGCTAGGAAGAAAGGAAGGAGAGTTGATGAGAAAATAAGAGGAGAACATGAGAAACAAAGAGAAAGGGGGAGAAACCAATAAGACACTTTGTGTAGGCCAAGTCCTAACCCTAGTCTTACTCGTATAAGAAAATAACACAAATCTAGTTAGAAAAATAAGTATTATTTAATAAGACATGAATACCCTAATTCTTAAAAGTAAAAATATTTTCTGACATAACAACTAAAGTTAATATTTTGATACAATTAAGTATTGCACAAGATTGCTTCCTAGTGTAGCCTGCCATTATTCATGACCTTCCATTTAGAATTTTGCTAATTAGCTTATTTAACAAATACTATTTTGTGTCATTTACATCTTAGATGACAGCAAATTTGCTGCTAAGATTTTCAAACAAATGTATGCTAAAGTGATACTTGTCATATTTTTCGTTTCAGATCTGTAATAATCTTTGCAGATTGCAAATTGAGGACTTACCGGTAACTTTATTAAAATTTGGGATAGTGCACATGGCATTTCATTGATACTTGGATAGTTTATTGTTTTGTTTTACATTCTGATGCTATAGTAATACAGTGTACGGATATGTATTTGCCAAGATAAGCTGAGTGTAATCTTAGGCTTTTCTTGGGTGACTTCTCTTTTAGGGCCATGGTTCCGATTGGCAAGTATTTCTTATCGTGAAGTGTTGGATTCTCAAGAAGCAGTTAAGGAGCTCTGTGGTAATTGAGTACTATTAGTTATATTTTCAAATTCAAAGGTAATGGGTTCTCTAAAGAAAACTTGTATTTGTTGTCAAATTGCAGCTAATGGCTATATATGCTGCTTTGAAGACAAAAATGAACTACATGATGACATGAAGGAGATTTGCAATTTGCTCACTATCTCTGAGCTGCGTGAAATTTTGTCTGTGCTTAAAAAGGTTTGGTTTTGCTGTTATTAGTAAGTGATTTTATTTCCAGAAATGTTAATTCTTTTACTTTTTGTAATCTTCACATCTGTATTCATAAGGGAAGATAAAAACAGAAATGATAAAACATAATGATCAAGGGTAGAAATATGTATATAATGATAAACTATGATGATCAATGGGAGAAACTGAGTTTTTGTATATTATGTAATATTTTAAATAATGCAGGGGGTGGATGTAGTGAGGTAGATCAAGGCTGTGAATTGCCATGCATGGGTTCTATCCTGTCTTTCAGCTAAAGCCCATAACTAATGAATAGTTATAACTAAAAAAGCATATAGTTCATCTAGATTAAAAAGCAAAATAAAGTGACCAGTCTCTATCGGTTTGGTAGTTTTCTTGCCCACTCTGACAAGGAAGGTTTTGTTGTGAAACAATACTGGAGGTTTTTGCTTCTTTTCCGAACCAAGGCGTTCGGCAATTATTATGCCAACTTGAGGGGAAGAGGCAAATGAAATTTTAAACTCTGTTTTTCAGTTGGTAATTTCCATTGAAGACCTCAATAGTCCAGGTGCTGCCAAAGTGAGTATTTTGGTAGAGTTAGTACATGTCATTTACAACCTCCATTTTTTTTCCCTGACCTCCCACCTCGTTGAATAGATAAGGAATAAAAGCATCCCATGTACCTAATGTTCCATCACCTTTTTTGATAGGTTTCAAGAGTGATTCTCAACATAACTAAAATACTTTTTAGTAGTAAACTTCTTGGTGTAATGGCTATATGATAGTTGTGTTGTTCTGTATTTCTTCATTAGTCTGCTGATGAGTCTATGCAATTTGCTTGTATTGAGGCTTCAGAATTGCATTCGTGGTTCAAGAAAGCAGGATCTTATTGCATTTCTTCTTCGTTCCTATGAAGATGGTTTATGGTATGAATGATTTACCATAGCAGATTGATCTGTCGTTTTGTAAGGTTTTTTATTGATTTTTGTCCCCTTTTCATTGAGCTTCTGTCTGTATAATGGACATCTAGTCCACTCTTGTACGTCGTTTTATATCTAATACATCAATTTATATTTCCTTTCAAAAAAATAATAATAATAATAAAAAAAAAAAAAAAAGATGATGAAGGTATACAGAGATTGAGTATTTTGTAAATTATCTTTTCCTTTGTTTCTAATATTGCAGCCCACTCCTACCAAACATGATTCTTGATAGAACAGGCATCTGCATTAGAATATCTTCAAAAGCTGAATCCCTTATCTGGCGTGCCGAGGTGCTTTTATGGCTTCCACATTTTCTGTACACTAGAGTATTTATGCAAATTTGTTGGTATGATTTACATCTAAATGTTCTCCATGAACTCTGTTGCTTGTGCAGAGGCTTTTTTTCCTCAATGGAGAGCAGGATCTGTCAGCTTTTCTGCTAGTTGATTTGGGGATAGTCAAATATCCAACTTACAACTGCATAATCTCTGAACAGATTTTCTCAAGTCTAAGTGATCTTCTTGCTTATGAAGAGGTTATAATTTATTTGTAAGTGGGAAATATTGAGATATTGTTGACACTGTGTTTCTTTTGACGAGATAATTGATTATGCATTGCAGGCCATTGAACTAGCGCAAATAATGGATCAATCTCTTGACAAAAACAATGTTGAATTGGTGTTAAGATGCCTTATGATAGCTGACTCCTGTATGTCTGGCACTTATTCAGAAGCAATTCAATCTCCAACTTCTGAATTAGCAAGTACATTTCATTCTTGCTTTTCAGCATCATGGGTGTACTCGAAAGTGATCTTGTTAGGAATTTCCTTTCTTGAACGTGAGCGTCGGTATGGTACTTTACAAGTACTGATTATAGCATATATCTACCCCTTTGTCTTTGTATCTTCTCTTATCATAATCATTGCTTATTGCTGTACTTCCCCATTTTTATTGGTCTGCTTCATAGCCTTCATGAATCTTTTCCTAGTAAACTATTGTCCTCAAGTAATGCTGGCTCTGGTATTTCAGCATATACACAATTTTTATGTATTGAAAGACTAATTTGTACTACTTATGTAATTGCACACTCCTTATATTGGGTGTATGTAGTTACCCACATATAGGAATCTCTTTAAAGTTAAGGACAATATAGTAATGTTTATTTACTTCTTCTAAGTCATTTTCTGTTCTCTTGGATAAACTCACTGATAGAGAACTAGAAGGAGAAATAGGGATTAGAGAGTATAGAGGACAGATTACAGAGAACAACAAGAAAGGGGAGAAAACTGGAAGAATTGAGAGAGAGAGATAATCAATAGGGATAGAACTAATAATCAATTTTATTCATAAACCAAGTACGTCAACAATAATGAAATAAGTCTTTATTTTGTAGGCTTAAGAAATCAAATCCTAATCAAAATATACTCTAATCCTAATAGAATAATGAAAACATAATGCTAATCTAGTAGAATAAGGAAATAAATTCTAAAATAACTTGGACATGATTACCCTAAAATATGAAAATATAGGGTAAATATTCATTGCATTTACTCCTATGTGTCCTCCATCACTCACTTCCTACATGCTCCTTTGGTTGTCTACTTTGTACATGGTTTTGGCCTAATTAATCAAGAAGCTGGCTCATGATCATCATGATTAATTGCTCAGGTTTGCATATTAACTAGTATGAATATTTTCTAATATTCTTTACTTATATTTAGCACTGAATGTAGATATAGATTCTACATGAGTATAATCATTTCTTTATGTGGTAAACTTAATGGATATCACATGAGATGGTATTTTAGATGATAATAATCTCTGTTCTTAGTCACTGGATTCATGGTAGGGGACCTGTGTCATATTGTAGTTAGGACAGTTGAAAAAGTTTTTGGTTTATGTTGTAGATAATCGTGCAAAATCTTACAGATATTGCATGATTAAGTGTATAAATCTATAATAGGATATTAGGATTGTAATCAACATATTAAGAACAAATCTGTAAAATAGGAAGTTAGATTTTTATTTCCTAGATATTATTATTTTCCTAGATTAGTTCTTTATTTTCCTATATATTGATGTATAATTTGTCAATACAATATGAAAAATATACAATCAGTTCTCTGTTTGTAACATGGTATCAGGCAATTCTAGGTGTTTTTTTTTTTTCAATTCGTTTTTTCTTTTCTTTTCTGCCAAGTGAGCATTATTTGTGAGTCACCCTGGGAGTGGCCATTTTTTCTCACCGCCTGCCTAGGAAGAAGCCTCTTTTGCCGATCGACCATTCCCTGAATTTCGGTCATCGGACGAGTAGCATGTGAATCTCATGCGCCACCTTTTCATCTGCGTCAGTATCCACGCGGCGGCGCGTGTCACGAGGAAAGTGCTCCGATCACCCTTCCAGCTTCGTCTTGTTATTTTCGGCAGATTAGTTCCTCAGTATCTCAGCCAGGCACGGCGTTTGTTGGTTTCTGTTGGTATCAGTTTTGTTGGTATAGAGTTCGTTCTTTGAAGAGTTTTGTTGGCTATTTTCGTTTCTTACCATGACTGATAAGTCTATAATGATATGGTTCCTGTAATGTCAAAAATTACGGAACATAAGCTTAATGGGTCTGATAAATATTTTGATTGGAGGAAGTAATTCGTCTTTATCTGCGAAGCATTGTAAAGATGATCATCTCACCAAAGATTCGTTGAAGACGATTCAAAGCAAACATGGTTGAGAGAGGATGCCTGTTGTTCTTGCAGATACGGACTCCATCAACAGTGAGGTACTTGGTTTAGTTAATCATGTGAATATGTGAAGGAATTGATGGACTATCTAGATTTTTGTATTCTGGGAAAGAGAATGTTTCTCTATTTTGATGTATGCAAGCTTTTTATCGAGCTGGAAACAAGATAGGTCTCTTACGGCCTATTTTATGGATTTTAAAAGGATATATGAAGAACTTAACATTCTTCTACCGATGAGTGCTGATGTGAAGTCAACAAGCCCAATGAGAGAAAATGGCGATTATGAGTTTCCTAGCTGGACTCCCTTCTAAGTTTGAATTGCTAAATCTCAGGTTCTTGTAGTTCTGAGATCACCTTCCTCCAAGGCATATTTACTAGGGTTCTTCATACAGAAAGCACTCCATCTGTTCAATGAGTAGTGCTCTTGTAAGTCAGAACATGACACCGGACGTTCATATAACATGAGCAATAATAGAGGAGGGATCGAATTATCGTGAGAATCGGAGTCAGGAGTCAGGAGGGATTGTGTGCTACTATTGTCATGAACCGGTCATAGAAAGCGCACGTGTAGAAAGTTGCAAAATAAGGCCCAAAAACCTCAGTCAGCTCATGTTGTTGCTACTGATACTTCTGAGAAGAAGGTTATGATTTCAGCTGATGAGTTTGCCAAGTTTTCTCAGTATCAAGAATCATTGAAGTCCTCATCTACTACTCACTGCTCTCGCTGAGTCAGATAAACCATACATGTCTTATTTCCTCATCCTCCAAAGGGTCATTGATTCTGGTGCCACAGATTATATGATAGGTAATCCTAGTCTCTTTTCATCATATCAGTCACATAGTTCCTCGTCTAATGTTACTTTAGCTGATGGGTCAACTTCTTGCGTTCTTGGGTCGGGTTGTTAACCCTACTCCGTTAATTTCTCTATCCTCGTATTGAGTCTACCACAGTTCTTTTTAAGTTAATTCTGTGAGTAAACTCTAAACCCTAAACCCTAAACCCTAAACCTCTTTTCATCATATCAGTCACATAGTCTCGTCTAATGTACTTTAGCTGATGGGTCAACTTCTTGCGTTCTTGGGTCTGGGTCTGTTAACCTCCTGTTAATTTCATCCTCTGTATTGAGTCTACCACAGTTCTCTTTAAGTTAATTTCTGTGAGTAAACTCACTTGTGCTCTTAAATGTTACATCCATTTCCCTGATCATTGCTTGTTTTAGGATTTACGACGAGGCAGATTAGTGTAAAGGACATGATCTGGAGGGCTTTACATCTTGACACACAAGATGCCCAGAACCATTGCATGTTCCAGTATTTCGACCCCTTTTGAGGCGCATTGCGGTTAGGACAATCCTTCTTTACCATTGTTAAAGGAACTATGTCCTTAGTTTAATAAATTATCTTCGTTAGGTTGTGAGTCATGTCAATTGCCAAACACCACTGTCTTTCTTCAAGTCCAAGAGTCAATAAACGGGCTAGTGTCCCTTTTGAATTAGTTCATTTAAATGTTTGGGGTTCGTGTTCTATTATGTCTAAACCTGGATTTAAATATTTTGTTACCTTTGTTGATGACAACTCTCATGTAACTTGGCTTTATTTAATGAAAAATCGTTTTGAGTTGTTTTCTCATTTTTGTGTCTTTTGTTCCGAAGTTAAAACTCAATTTAATACTTCTATCCAGACATTAAGAAGCGATAATGCCAAAAAATATTTTTCGAGTTCTTTTCAGTCTTATATGAGCTAGCATGATATTTTTCATCAATCTTCTTGTGTAGACACACCGTCACAAAATGGAGTAGAAGAGAGGAAAAATAGGCATCTTTTTGAAACCGCTCGAGCCCTATTATTTCAAATGCAAGTTCCTAAACAGTTTTGGGCCGATGCAGTTTCTACGGCCTGTTTTCTAATTAACCGCATGCCTTCTTCTATTCTGAATGGTTCCACTCCTTATAGTGTTCTCTTCCCGTCTAAGTCTTTGTTTCCTATTGCTTCAAAGATATTTGGTAGTACTTGTTTTGTTCGTGATGTTCGACCCCAAGTAACCAAGTTAGATTCCAAATCTCTTAAATGTGTTTTTCTAGGTTACTCTCGCCTTCAAAAGGGATATCAATGTTATTGTCATAGTCTTAATAGATATCTGGTGTCACCTAATGTAGGTTACTCTCGCCTTCAAAAGGGATATCAATGTTATTGTCCTAGTCTTAATAGATATCTGGTGTCACCTAATGTTACTTTCTTAGAAAACACCTTTTTTTTTTTCCTACTTCGTCTACCTATACACGTCAGGGGGAGGACGATGACTTACTAATCTATACTGCCACATCCCTATCGGCTATTCCCACACCTAAGGTTTCCCCTCCTACTGTTCCTCCTCCCACAACTGAGGCACCACCACATGTCCATCCACTACCTCCAATTCGCATTGTCTATTCTCGTCGACAGGAACCTCCTGTACTAGTCCTTTTGTCGTCAGACTCAATCTCCAGTGATCCTGATACTTGTGTTCCTCGTTAAGAAGACACTCAGACTTCATGTTCTACCCAAGACTTTGTCGTTGGATATAACCTTGAGTGATCTTGATCTTCCTATCGCTCTTCGGAAAGGTAAACGTCAGTGTACTTATCCTATCTCTTCATTTGTTTCTTATGTTTACCTATCATCTTTTTCTTGTTCTTTTGTGGCATCACTAGACTCCATCTCCCTTCCTGCAATTGTTCATGAAGCCTTATCTCATTTTGGTTGGCGTGATGTTATGATAGAAGAGATGAATGCTTTAGATGTTAATGGTACTTGGAACTTGGTTGACTTACCTACTAGAAAGAAGCCTATTGGATGCAAATGGGTGTTTGCTGTTAAAGTAAATCCTGATGGGTCAGTGGCTAGGCTTAAAGCTCGTCTTGTAGCTAAAGGCTATGCTCAAACTTATGGAGTGGATTATTCTAACACTTTTTCCCCTGTGACTAAATTGACTTCTCTTCACTTATTTATCTTTATGGCGGCTACTCATTCTTGGCCATTACATCAGTTGGACATAAAAAATGCCTTTTTACATGGTGACCTTCAGGAAGAAGTCTATATGGAGCAACCACCTGGATTTGTTGCTCAGGGGGAGTGGGTTTGTGTAGATAATCGTGCAAAATCTTACAGATATGCATGATTAAGTTATAAATCTAAATAGGATATTAGGATTGTAATCATACTATTAAGAACAATCTGTAAAATAGGAAGTTAGATTTTTTATTTCCTAGATTAGATTATTATTCCTAGATTGTTCTTTATTTTCCTATATATTGATGTATAATTTGTCAATACAATATGAAAAATATTACAATCAGTTCTCTGTTTGTAACATGGTATCAGAGCAATTCTAGGTGTTTTTTTTTCAATTCGTTTTTTCTTTTCTTTTCTGCCCAAGTGAGCATTATTTGTGAGTCACCCTGGAGAGTGGCCATTTTTTCTCACCGCCTGCCTAGGAAGAAGCCTCTTTTGCCGATCGCCATTCCCTGAATTGGTCATCGGACGAGTAGCATGTGAATCTCATGCGCCACCTTTTTCATCTGCGTCAGTATCCACGCGCCGGCGCGTGTCACGGAGGAAAGTGCTCCGATCACCCTTCCAGCTTCGTCTGTTATTTTCGGCAGATTAGTTCCTCGTATCTCAGCCAGGTCAGAGCAGTTTTGTTGGTTTTCTGTGGTATCAGTTTGTTGGTATAGAGTTCGTTCTTTGAAAGGTTTTTTGTTGGCTATTTCGTCTTCTTACATGACTGATAGTAAGTCTATTGATATGGTTCCTGTAATGTCAAAAATTAGGAACATAAGCTTAATGGGTCTGATAACTATTTTGATGGAGTAAGATAATTCGTCTTTATCTGCGAAGCATTGGTAAAGATGATCATCTCACCAAAGATTCGTTGAAGACGATTCAAAGCAAACATGGTTGAGAGAGGATGCCTGTGTTCTTGCAGATACGGAACTCCATCAACAGTGAGGTACTTGGTTTAGTTACATTGTGAATATGTGAAGGATTGATGGACTATCTAGATTTTGTATTTGGGAAAGAGAATGTTTCTCGTATTTTGATGTATGCAAAGCTTTTTATCGAGCTGAGAAACAAGATAGTCTCTACGGCCTATTTTATGGATTTTAAAAGGTATATGAAGAACTTAACATTCTTCTACCGATGAGTGCTGATGTGAAAGTTCAACAAGCCCAATGAGAGAAAATGGCGATTATGAGTTCCTAGCTGGACTCCCTTCTAAGTTGAATCTGCTAAATCTAGGTTCGTTAGTTCTGAGATCACCTTCCTCCAAGGCATATTTACTAGGGTTCTTCATACAGAAAGCACTCCATCTGTCAATTGAGTAGTGCTCTGTAAGTAAGAACATGACACGGACGTTCATATAACATGAGCAATAATAGAGGAGGGATTTCGAATTATCGTGAGTCGGAGTAGGAGTCAGGAGGGATTGTGTGCTACTATTGTCTGAACCCGGTCATAGAAAGCGCACGTGTAGAAAGTTGCAAAATAAGGCCCAAAAACCTCAGTCAGCTCATGTTGTTGCTACTGATACTTTGAGAAGAAGGTTATGATTTCAGCTGATGAGTTGCCAAGTTTTTCAGTATCAAGAATCATTGAAGTCCTCATCTACTTCCATCACTGCTCTCGCTGGTCAGATAAACCAAATACATGGCTTATTTCCTCATCCTCCAAATGGGTCATTGATTCTGTGCCACAGATTATATGATAGGTAATCCTAGTCTCTTTTCATCATACGTCACATAGTTCCTCGTCTAATGTTACTTTAGCTGATGGGTCAACTTCTTGCGTTCTTGGGTCTGGGTCTGTTACCCTACTCCGTTAATTCTCTCTCCTCTGTATTGAGTCTACCACAGTTTTTTTAAGTTAATTTCTGTGAGTAAACTCTAAACCTAAACCCTAAACCCTAAACCTCTTTTCATCATATCAGTCACATAGTTCCTCGTCTAATGTTACTTTAGTGATGGGTCAACTTCTTGCGTTCTTGGGTCTGGGTCTGTTAACCCTACTCCGTTAATTTCTCTATCCTCGTATTGAGTCTACCACAGTTCTCTTTTAAGTTAATTTCTGTGAGTAAACTCACTTGTGCTCTAAATGGTACATCTCATTTTTCCCTGATCATTGCTTGTTTTAGGATTTTACGACGAGGCGATTATTGGTAAAGGACATGAATCTGGAGGGCTTTACATCCTTGACACACAGATGCCCAGAAACATTGCATGTTCCAGTATTCGAACCTTTTGAGGCGCATTGTCGGTTAGGACATCCTTCTTTACCATTGTTAAAGGAACTATGTCCTTAGTTTAATAAATATCTTCGTTAGGTTGTGAGTCATGTCAATTTGCCAAACACCAATGCTGTACTTCCCCATTTTTATTGGTCTGCTTCATAGCCTTCATGAATCTTTTCCTAGTAAACTATTGTCCTCAAGTAATGCTGGCTCTGGTATTTCAGCATATACACAATTTTTATGTATTGAAAGACTAATTTGTACTACTTATGTAATTGCACACTCCTTATATTGGGTGTATGTAGTTACCCACATATAGGAATCTCTTTAAAGTTAAGGACAATATAGTAATGTTTGTTTACTTCTTCTAAGTCATTTTCTGTTCTCTTGGATAAACTCACTGATAGAGAACTAGAAGGAGAAATAGGGATTAGAGAGTATAGAGGACAGATTACAGAGAACAACAAGAAAGGGGAGAAAACTGGAAGAATTGAGAGAGAGAGATAATCAATAGGGATAGAACTAATAATCAATTTTATTCATAAACCAAGTACGTCAACAATAATGAAATAAGTCTTTATTTTGTAGGCTTAAGAAATCAAATCCTAATCAAAATATACTCTAATCCTAATAGAATAATGAAAACATAATGCTAATCTAGTAGAATAAGGAAATAAATTCTAAAATAACTTGGACATGATTACCCTAAAATATGAAAATATAGGGTAAATATTCATTGCATTTACTCCTATGTGTCCTCCATCACTCACTTCCTACATGCTCCTTTGGTTGTCTACTTTGTACATGGTTTTGGCCTAATTAATCAAGAAGCTGGCTCATGATCATCATGATTAATTGCTTATGCTTTCATATTAACTAGTATGAATATTTTTCCTAATATTCTTTACTTTATATTTAGCACCTGAATGTAGATATAGATTCTGCATGAGTATAATCATTTTTCTTTATGTTGGCTAAACTTAATGGATATCACATGGGATGGTATTTTAGATGATAATAATCTCTGTTCTTAGTCACTGGATTCATGGTAGGGGACCTGTGTTCATACTGTAGTTAGGACAGTTGAAAAAGTTTTTGGTTTATTTGCCTCTAACTGGGAATATCATTAATGTATGTGAGCTGGACTCTCAATCCTTGGTCATTCTTAGCTGGACTCTCAATCCTTGGTCATTCTTAGGAAATTCTAGCTGTCATAGGGTGCCCATGCACAGTGTTCTTCATTGCCTTTTTCAATTCATAGCTGAAGTCTACATACTTGGAACGGATTCCTTTGATTGACTACTTCCTCTCAAATTGGTTAGCTTGTCTTATGCCTCCTGTTGATGGAGATGTCACCAGCTAAACACTATGAATATCCCCCTTAGATCATTCAGAAGATCTTTTTGCCTTGCTTTCCTGTGATAGATCACTGTTCTTTTAAGTTTTCTTGTTAAAACATCCATTCTCCAAATTCTACTTCCAAGTTTCGTCTCATTTCCACCCTGTTGGAAAGGATTTTCTTCCTCTCTCTCTCATTTTCACTTGATGATGTTTCGGTTTTGCATGAACTTCCTAAAAGTACTTTCTAACATTAATCAGGAATAAACCTTGTATTATTTTTTCTCCTCAATTATGTTTTTTTATTTATTTTTATATAATTTTTATGTAATGTTTTGGTGTTATTAAAGATGATGTGCTTTGCCATCAATGACCTGATTGATTTGTATGGAAATAATTGAACATAGTGGTAATTTCATGATAGTTGGATCCTTTAGATTGCGTGCAATCAATTTGTAAATTTTACAGTCCTCTTCAACACGCTTGACACCTCTGCTACTTCTCAGAAAAGAACCCTGTATTTGCATGAATTAGCTGTTGGAGGATAAGTCACATGCTTAGTATGTTATGATAATAACATGGGCAAACTTTTGTGCTCCTCTTCTGACAAACCTTTCAGAAAATTACTTTATTTTGTCTTCAGTGGTTGCTTTATTTTCATCAAGCTTTATTCTCTTTGTCATCACTGACATGATTAATGTGTGAGGACAATTTATGTCAATTGGTTGGAAAAATGCTTAGGGAAAAGTTGTTTGTTGTATTTCATACAATTAGCTGACATCTGTGACTACCAAAAGTATCCCATTTCTCTGTTTCAGGTATCACGATGCTGTAAATTTACTGAAACGTTTGCTTCATCATTTCACTTGTGATGGGAGAAGAGGATATTGGACACTGAGGTTGTCAGTTGATTTGGAGCATCTGGGCTGTCCCAATGAGAGTCTGTCAGTTGCTGAAGATGGGTTACTGGATCCATGGGTCCGTGCTGGTTCAAGAATGGCCCTACAAAGGAGGGTTCTTCGCTTGGGAAAACCACCAAGGCGGTGGAAAACCCCTAGCTTTTCAGAATCCATTGAAAGGAAGATCCCGGAGGTAAGTGATTACTATGTTTCTTAGAGATTTTGACAGTGAGGTGCTTCTTGAACTTTGATGCAAAATATTGTTATTGATAAATAATTTGCAATTAAGTTGTAGCTGAGTTAATACTGTTTTATAATTTTGTTTTCTTTTTTGGAAATTTAATTAGGTCCATATTCAAGGGAGACCGCTAAATTGTGAATTGGGTACGAAAAGCAGGTTTTATGGAGAAGATGGGGAACAATGTGGAGTGGAGCAGCTTGCTTTGCAACATTATGCTGGGGAAGGCGGTGGATGGCAGGGTGTTCATACAGAGAGTGGAATTTGGTTGACTATATTTGGGCTTCTCATGTGGGATATTTTGTTTTTTGATGTACCTGATGTTTTTCGCACCAAGTTTCAGGTATCTACATAAGCTTTTCAGTTCTCATATCTCAACACACAGACATAAAAACACAAAAACAAAGATACATGTTATGTTACTTGCTTACACAGTGATGTTTCAGCGCGAAGTTACCATAGTTTTTAATTCTTTCTGTTTTTGGGTAAGAAACTATTAAAGATGTATTAATAAGAGGTATCAAGCGATTAAGTGAACAAGGAAGATAACTTTACTTTTCTTTTTTTTGTGTTTGGTGCATGGGAGAAAACATGGGAAAGGATAATTTGTTTGATTTGTAATCCTTATCCCATGATTTGCCTTTTACAAGTTAGAAAACTTACCCTGGACCTGCCAATTAGTTCTATATACATGGGAGTTGCATGTCAGCGTCATCATTGGGAGATTATTTGAAGTTTCATGTGCTTGCCTTCATGAAACTTCTCTCTTACCTAATAGAAGAAACCCTAAAATCATCGCATTCACTTTTGCCAACTCCACACTCATTGCTGCCTCCCTTACTAACACCTGCCGTGAGACTGCTGGCTGTTTTTACTGCCTTACATGTCTTTTTATGAAGATTCAAATTTCAAACTTGCTTATGAATATTGGTTATTACGGTTAAATTCCTCTCAGTTTCAGTATTGAGTTTTCTCAGATTCTAAACACCTTTGTCATTTTTCAAATAACTGCCAATTGAGATTGAGAAAAGGAAAAATTCCATTGTTGCAGACTGCTCCCTTGGATTTGGATACTGATAGCTTTTATCTGGTAAGAAAGAACCTTATAGAATCTCAGCTACAAAAAGTTCACGATGGTATGGCTGAGGAGATCCTCATCACATCATGGGAATCACATGTGGGAACAGCTTGCAGAGGAGTTAACTGGGACCGACATTCCCTCTCCGAGCTTCGGGCAGCAGTTACCTGCATTGGTGGCTCTTGTTTGGCCTCATTGTGCCGACATCTCGCTGAAGATTACCGGAGTTGGTCAAGTGGAATGCCTGATTTGTTGCTATGGCGTTTCCATGGGGAATACAGAGGTGAAGCCAAGCTTGTTGAAGTTAAAGGCCCCAGGGATCGACTCTCCGAACAGCAGAGAGCGTGGCTACTTCTGTTAATGGATTGTGGGTTCAATGTCGAGGTTTGTAAAGTGAGTGCCACGCCAATATCTACATGAAGTCGTGTTTCTTTGTTGTGATTGCTCGGAAGAGACTTAAAGAACATTGAGTTTTACAAGGATGGAAGTTTGTTCTGCCATTTGTTTGAGTCCGTGTGAAGTTTGACATCCAGTCGCTGGAAATTTGAAGATTGTCGGAAATCTCTAGCTAATTTTCTTCCATTTCATTTTCTTAATTTACATCCTACGGCAGATGTCATGCTCTGTCTCTATGATTCATTACCTGAGTCAGAGATCTATACTTTAAATATAGAACTTTTTACACCTTTTTCTAGTATTAGACAAGTAGTAATTTCTTTTATAGCAGATATGGTGTCATATAGTCAAGCCGAGAGCCTAATTTGGATTTATTGTCTCCTGATATTTAGATGTAAATCTGTAATAACACAATTCGCTTTGATCTGTAGCAGAATGGAGCTGTAATGTATAATTTACTTATTTAAGGTTCAACTTTCTTGATAGTATTTGTTTTCTACATGATCTGTAGGTTTTGTCTCATTTCTTTATTTTGGTCTTTGGGAGGTAAGATGCGACTGGATTGGACTTTTAGGATAGGATTTGATTGGATTATAATAGTGTTGTATTATGTTTGGAGAAGTATGAGACTAGATAAGAACATTTATATCAAAAAATTTAATTAAAAATATAAATATAATTTGACATTTATTTTTAAATTATTAAATATCTACATTATAAGTTAAAATAAAAATTTTATTTTGTAATGGTATCTTAATTTAATAGTAATTATCTTGAAATGTTTATATAATTTTATTAATTATAATAAATTTGAATGAGAAATACTTTAATCATTAACCCATAAATTTTTTATGGGTGTTTTAAAATTTTAAATAATTATTTTTATAAAAAAAAGAAAGAATGTGTTATTACTCCATATAAACGTCTCTAATTTTAGATAATAAAATCAAATAAAGAATAACCTAATCAAATAAAATTACATATTCAAGATATTAACTAAAACATTTTAATATTATATTATTATTTTTGAATCATATAAATTATTTGATAAGATATTAAAACACCGTGGCGGATTCTAAAACAGAAGCTGAGTACATAACATTATCAGATGCGGCTAAAGAGGTGGTTTGGATCAAGAAGTTCATTTCAAAACTTGAAGGGTTCCAAGCATTGTTGATCCAGTAGAACTTTACTGTGACAACAATGGTGCCATAGCTCAGGCTAAGAAACCACGATCTCACCAACGATGCAAACATATACTCAGAAGATACCATCTAATCAGAGAAATTATTCAGAGAGGTAATGTGCAAATTTGCAAAATACCTACTAATGACAATGTAGTAGACCTACTAACGAAAGCTCTATCACAACAAAAACATGATAAGCACTTAGCATCATTTGATATTAAATACATGAATGATTGACTATAGTACAAATGGGAGATTGTTAGGGTAAGTGCACTAGAGCTAATAATAGTAGACTCTTGTAATATTATATTAAATATCAATAAAGGCATCAATTTATATACCATGTTATTTTTTTTATGCAATGATATATGTCCTTAGAATAACTTAACCATGATGAGGGAATCAAATATTTCAAATCTTGATTGTGAGGAGCCTATGATCACATATGGTGGCTATTCTAGAAATGTCTGTAGCCTCAATATTAATATAACCAAGGATATAGATAATACGGTAAGACTATTATAACGTTAAACGACCCTATCGAAAGGTAGTGACAGTTCTCACATGTTAAGGTTGTTAGGTGACAACCTGGTGCAACGTATGAGTGTCTGTTGTTTACAAGTCCACTAGACTAACCACTAGAAGATTCTATATTGATGGTAACCCCAGTGTTTATGAAATATATCCTCTAACGGATAATGGTGCATGTCATCCTTAGACTTGAGATCACCAAAGCGTCGTATGTAAATATTGGTGTAATTTGACACTAGCCTAACATAGTCATATTTAGGGTTATCAGTACGGTAGTGGTTGCATTGAGAAGTACACTATAGCTATGGTGGATCGATAAAAAATTCATCACTCCTTGGTACAAGATAAATTATCTCATTGAAATATTTGGTTAATAGCAACGATTGCAAATCTGTGACCACATTGGAAATGCGTTGTTACTCAAATCCAATTTTATTTTGTCGTTGATTCAATAACCGAATGCAATCGTATCAAGGAAATTTGATTGAAGTTGACACTACTTCTGCATTTCAAGCCTTGATGAGATAAATGATGATAAAGGGATTTGAATTGCACAGTAATCAAACTATTGGCAGGTAGTGATTTCACAGAATCATTATTTGCTGGGTAACCATGATGCCTTGCTAGAGGCCAATTTTGGTTGGTGTACGGAGAGCTAATTAGTTGATACTAAGTTACAATTCCGATCACTACCAACATAATAAAGAACCTACAGGTCACACACATTAAAGGCAGATGAAGGAGAATAATAAAGGAAGAGTAATTTTGTCTTTTAGATGAAATTGGTATTTTGGTAATTTTGTTATGCGATTAAATTCATTGAGGTTGTTGCCTACATTGAATATTTATATTGAAATAGTTTTAGCAAAATTATAAAGAATGTTAATATATATAATACGAAAAGGAAATAAATATAATTAATTATATTTATCCGTTATTCCAAATAGGAATAATATTAATCCTATTCCAAGTTACGGATAGGATTATCCTTTACTATATAAAGGAGAGCTTAGAACTAAAAATTAGTTCACTCANAAATTATTTGATAAGATATTAAAACACCGTGGCGGATTCTAAAACAGAAGCTGAGTACATAACATTATCAGATGCGGCTAAAGAGGTGGTTTGGATCAAGAAGTTCATTTCAAAACTTGAAGGGTTCCAAGCATTGTTGATCCAGTAGAACTTTACTGTGACAACAATGGTGCCATAGCTCAGGCTAAGAAACCACGATCTCACCAACGATGCAAACATATACTCAGAAGATACCATCTAATCAGAGAAATTATTCAGAGAGGTAATGTGCAAATTTGCAAAATACCTACTAATGACAATGTAGTAGACCTACTAACGAAAGCTCTATCACAACAAAAACATGATAAGCACTTAGCATCATTTGATATTAAATACATGAATGATTGACTATAGTACAAATGGGAGATTGTTAGGGTAAGTGCACTAGAGCTAATAATAGTAGACTCTTGTAATATTATATTAAATATCAATAAAGGCATCAATTTATATACCATGTTATTTTTTTTATGCAATGATATATGTCCTTAGAATAACTTAACCATGATGAGGGAATCAAATATTTCAAATCTTGATTGTGAGGAGCCTATGATCACATATGGTGGCTATTCTAGAAATGTCTGTAGCCTCAATATTAATATAACCAAGGATATAGATAATACGGTAAGACTATTATAACGTTAAACGACCCTATCGAAAGGTAGTGACAGTTCTCACATGTTAAGGTTGTTAGGTGACAACCTGGTGCAACGTATGAGTGTCTGTTGTTTACAAGTCCACTAGACTAACCACTAGAAGATTCTATATTGATGGTAACCCCAGTGTTTATGAAATATATCCTCTAACGGATAATGGTGCATGTCATCCTTAGACTTGAGATCACCAAAGCGTCGTATGTAAATATTGGTGTAATTTGACACTAGCCTAACATAGTCATATTTAGGGTTATCAGTACGGTAGTGGTTGCATTGAGAAGTACACTATAGCTATGGTGGATCGATAAAAAATTCATCACTCCTTGGTACAAGATAAATTATCTCATTGAAATATTTGGTTAATAGCAACGATTGCAAATCTGTGACCACATTGGAAATGCGTTGTTACTCAAATCCAATTTTATTTTGTCGTTGATTCAATAACCGAATGCAATCGTATCAAGGAAATTTGATTGAAGTTGACACTACTTCTGCATTTCAAGCCTTGATGAGATAAATGATGATAAAGGGATTTGAATTGCACAGTAATCAAACTATTGGCAGGTAGTGATTTCACAGAATCATTATTTGCTGGGTAACCATGATGCCTTGCTAGAGGCCAATTTTGGTTGGTGTACGGAGAGCTAATTAGTTGATACTAAGTTACAATTCCGATCACTACCAACATAATAAAGAACCTACAGGTCACACACATTAAAGGCAGATGAAGGAGAATAATAAAGGAAGAGTAATTTTGTCTTTTAGATGAAATTGGTATTTTGGTAATTTTGTTATGCGATTAAATTCATTGAGGTTGTTGCCTACATTGAATATTTATATTGAAATAGTTTTAGCAAAATTATAAAGAATGTTAATATATATAATACGAAAAGGAAATAAATATAATTAATTATATTTATCCGTTATTCCAAATAGGAATAATATTAATCCTATTCCAAGTTACGGATAGGATTATCCTTTACTATATAAAGGAGAGCTTAGAACTAAAAATTAGTTCACTCATACAAACCCTAGCTGCCCATAAGCTTTTTGAGAGAGAAATTTTTTCCTCTCAAAGTTTTTTCTATCCCCATTGCAATTAAACAAGTCTAGTAACTTTTTAATTGTGATTATTTTAATCTTGCTTTTTTCTGGATTTAACTGGAGCGATTCTCCCTTGAATTGAATTGCAAAAAGTCTTCAAAACGAATCCGAAGGAGCCTCCAAGAGCAGGTATAGGTTTAATCAACTTTAAATTAATCTCTGAGTTTATTGACTGTATACATCAATCTATGATCCAGGTTTTTGGGTTTTAGAATTTTTTTTTGTTTTTGTTATATTCCACACTTTAATCTATTTAAAACCTTACAACCACCACATTTTTTACCATCGTAGGTTTATTGTACTCGAGCATGGGACAATATGATGGTAGCTTGGCGAAAGAGAATTCATTTGTTCCTCTAAAAGATTGAGGGCATACTCTTTAGCTCTCTATGCTTTATTATACGATATACTTATCTTCAATTCCTCACAAACATCATCTTGAAGAGGCCTTGAACCAGAGTTCCGATCAACCCGTTAGAACTTACGTAGTGAATGTAGTGCTCCAACTCTAATAGAAGCATTACTATTGTTAGGGAGTAGTTGGTCGCTAGCAAAAGTATGAATAGAGACAAATTTTTTACTAGGGAGTAGTTGGTCGCTAGCAAAAGTATGAATAGAGACAAATTTTTTACTTAAAAATATGGAGTTGGTATCATCCTCATTGCTTGAGTTTGTCACTTGCAGTTGACAACATCCTTTCATATGGCCTCAAATTGGTCCTTGGTGGACTGAGACACCTGATACTCAAAGTTTTGTCATAATCCTAGCCGGCCCAATCTATCTTTTGTCTCTGGCTTTATATTGAAAACAAGCCCTACCAAAATATCACAATCTTCAGTGTTA